TGACCAACGGCCTTTCATTTTGACGAAGCTTATATGAAACATTTAAATTGACTGTTGTTGTTGTTTATGAATAAGTACAAATACAATCCAGAGCATAATGAGTTATCATTATGGATTAGCTGTTTTCGGTTTTTACCTACTACCGTTACAAAAGCCTTAAATTTTATTGTTTTGAGCTGAGTAGATCTTGTATCCTAGACTGGGTTTACGGCGTGTGTGCTTTGCATGTTTGACTGAGAAGAAAGTTTACCATATGGCAGTGTTTTTTTACAACAATGATCTATGGTAATGCTTGTAAACAATGTGATCATGTGTCAAAAATAATTGACCTAGTTGGTCCTCTATGGATTTCCAATAAAGCCTGAAGGAGATAAGAAAGTCGATTTTCTTATGTTCACCTCATATGGCGTGGAAGGAAACGTATTTTTCTGTTTTGATTATTCTAAGTACATAATACTACTGTAACTAGTGTCATTGTGTTTAAAACGTGAACTTTATGGAGTTACATATTATTATGTATTTCTTATTAAACGTTTTCCTGTTCGATAGTATTTCAGCTAGTATATTGTCTTTGTTGATAATTTCCCGTATAAAATGTATATCTATAGCGAGATCTCTGTAATTTATCCGGTGCACACTAGTTGACTCCCATTCCCGGGTAGTCGTCAAAATTATATAGGTATTATAATACTGCATATATATAATATAACTAAACTATATTATTATAGTTGCCTCCGAAATACTATCCAAATTGACTCCGGTGACCTTTATGTTTTATCGCAACATTTTTGGTAAAAATGTACTCTTAAAAGTTGCTAAGTATAATATTTTTTATCTGAGTTGCCTATCCGAATTCCTTCCCAACGATTTCTTTTAAGCTAGATAACACATAATAAGTAATAACGTATAGGTATTAATTTTATTTTTATAGTTTCTCATATATATATATATATATATATACTTGCAATTTGCATAATACCAATTTGTACATTATTTTAGAACAATAGAAATCGTAGTGTGTATTTTGTACGAAATTGCACAATTAAAATAAAATGCAACGCAGATCATATCATCACAGACTAATTAAATCTATAATAAATAAATATCTAAACATCCACAGATAACAACTATGCCGACAGCCGTTATTTTAAAATAACCTACATACTATACAATTTGTTTGAAAGCAGATAATTTTGTTGTTTACCGAACCCATTTTAATACTTAATCATTTTCAATATTTTTAAAAAGGTTATTCAACTGCATTACTTTATTATCGGGAGAAAATGTTGGTTCTTATCGATTATAGTATATATTTTACTAAAGGAAAATTAATCATGATATTATCTAAGAAATGTATAATTTTTACACTGTTAATTGCCAGTTTATAAGCCAGATATATATTATTTCTCATATTAATATCCTTCACACAGTCCGTTTTTTCCCTATATTTTACATCAATTACTCCTTTTTTTAAATAGATTTAGCCTGCGACAATTAAATAAGATTGATCTGTGAAATATACATTGAATACATATGCATTATGTAAATTTATATCCTCGCATAAACCACGGTTATGAATTAGAAGAATTTAATCACGACCATTTTCCCGTTTATTAAATATCCCATTCTGCATATTGTATATCACTACCGTGTGATGGGATCAATTGAATTCAAATTTTCCACCGACCGCCTTGATTGCCTAAAATATACGTATTAACGAATTTTTTTTAAATATCATTCTTGCATTATAATTTTGTTTAACAGTAAACTTTCACTAGGGCATAAATCATATGCTCCTTCGTCATGTATCCTTAATTCATTTTTGATTAATTTACTTATATCTCGTTCCATTAATTGTGAATTAAAATGGTATTATACACGCACATTACAGTTTAGATTTTTGTTTTAATTCAATATTGTTTTTGGTATTTAATCTGTAATAATATTAACGTTTTTGTTTTGAGTTCTGATTTCTTTCACGAATTGGCTTTCTCGTCCGGGTCCCGTTACACTTAGGACAGACGTACGACTGTGAGTCAATCCGTCGGGACTTAGGTTGTCCGCTATTGTCTACTAATATGACTTGTTCCGCCCATGCAATTGGATGTTTTATCATTAATACATTATATGATAATATTAATTTTGTCATTGAACTTAAGTCGTGGGCCGCTTGATTCCTGTCAATAACGTCGAAACTGTTCAATTTCTATTGTTGTTCTGTGGTTAATAGCAAAATGGTGTTATTTCGAGCATTTTTTACTTTATAAAAACGAATCTGATTGTAGTAAAAAACAATAATGCACATGGGTTAGTAATTCGTATAGGGTAATTTTCCTATAGTATAGATTAATTTTGTTTTCTCTGTATTTTAACGAAGATCGAAGTATTGAAAATTGTTGTTTTTTCGTTATTGTTTGTTTAATTGTTAAAATTCATTTTTTTCTATTTTTATATATCTGTTACAACTGTGAATAAGTGTGTAAGTCGAATTTTGGTCAAAATTGACTAAGTACGCTAGGATGTAGTTCGAGGCGTTTAGCACACCTTAAATAAATGTCTACCTCGTTGGACCGACAAGAAAACCTTGAGAGAGATGTGTTATTGGCTAAGTAGAGGGATTTATGGCAGCTGGTCAAAGTTTAAAATCGCTCCCCTGTAAAATCACTGAAATCGACTTACACGCTTATTCACAGTTGTTACAGATATTTGATAATTTGTATCATTATTTATGCCAGGCTAGAATTTTTTTCAAAAAAGGTATTAGGAAACTTGTAATTTCCAGAACTTTTATTTCTCTGGATTTTTAAATATCTGTTCCGAACATAACTGTTAAAATAGAACTATTTGAAAAAGGTGTAATAATAAACTATTACATTATCAAGTTTTAATAATATCAATAATTCACAGTAAACCGTTTTGCGATGGTAATTAGTGTCCCTCAAATAATTTATTCGTTAATTATTATTTAAATTAATTTCGAAACGAGGCGAAACTTCAAGGGTCTGTCATCGTGAATTTCGTTATGGAAATTTATTATTATATTACTGTTATTATATATGACATTTGTCACATGATAATCATTCACTCGGCGCATGGTAGTAGACGTGAATTATGTTTGCTGTACATTTCCTCTTTTAACGTTAGTGTGTAAATTTGCATACTGCTTGCTAAAGTGAAACGATCGCATTTTATTCCCTATACCTGTTTATGGAAAATACTGTTTACCCCATTTAGATTCTTGAACAATGTTTACTTACTCAGATAGTTTAAAGTGTTTATTTAACTCTTCATAGTTAAAAAAAGCCCATTCATTTTTAACTTTGATACTAAACGCTTTTTTTTTTTTCAATAAGACGTATTTCTAAAAAAAATTCTCAATCTATGAAAATATGCGTTTTACAACTATGCTGGAAAGTTAAAAAAAAATATCATAACTCATAATATATTACAAAAAAGTGTTCATTTTTTATACAACCGGAAATTTTCATGATGCCAAATTACTTAACCAATGACTAATATTGTATCTGTTGCAATATACTTTGAATGGTTCATTGACACTCGTTTGTTATTTTTAAGTAAACGTGTTATTGTTGGATACCTACGTTGAATAAATAGGACTTACAGTTATATTTCATTCATTGACTCAGTTGTTCGATGGTTTTAACGTATTGTTATTGCATTTTTCTCAGTGACCCAGTTGTAAAGTGTAAAATGTAAAGTGAAATAAAAGTAGTAAAGTTGTTAAGTAAATAAAGTTGTAAACTGCTAAGTGTACCAACTGTAAATTGTATAAAAATGTTGATCAACTTTAACCTGTTATTGATGACTAAATAAAATTAGTTATTTTAAATTGCTGGAACAATGATATATCGGAACTAATTTAAAGTTAAAAATTGTATTACCGATAGTGTACTCAAAGGAGAGTTATTAATTTAGTATTTAAGTAAAATGTCGTTAAAAATATTGGATTAGTATTTCTTCTTCTCATCACTATCACACAGTCGTGTTCATAATATGGTCTTAAGTGTCCTATTACTTTTGATTTTTTAATATTTTGGTGACATACGCTTGACTGCATACCAGTCTGTTGTTATAATTTATGCATAGATTTTACAGTTGGAAAACGGCAGGTATATAGGGTACATGAGCAGTACAATGATTAATATTATAGGCTTGTCGATTTTATAGTAATTGATTGGCCGTGCAAGTTTTTTCGATGATTAATTTGAAAATGTGTGAGCAAATGGTTGTATAAGGTGTCAATTATAAGTAATAATAAGTACTAAAATTGTTGGAAGATGACCCTTAATTTATTTTCCACCAGGCTCTGGTACTTGTTTTTAACAAAACTATTACTAACATTTTCAATTTGAACGTGGATTTCCATTTTTTCAAACTAACATAGAGTCCCATGTAATGTAATAAAGTCTCGTTCAATTTTCCATAAATTGACTTACTCCCTTATACTGGCTCACCGTCTAATTATGTCGCTCACGGGTAATTTGATTTTTTTTCAATATTGATTTCGGTGTTAGCGTCGTTGTTAAAATAATTGAAAACTTTCTTACTGCGTCATGTATTCCTTATTCCTAAGCCAAACACATTTCACAGCTCTATACTATATTGATGGTAACTTGTACACAGTCCACTGTTTTATAGTATTCGCCGTGTCAGGCGATCGTTTTTTTAAATTTTCTTATCTTCTTATCATAAAAAAAAAACCAAATAATAATGATGTTAGTAGTAATAAGTAATGACTACCTATAATTACAGCTGCTGTTAGATTCCGTTTATTACTCTCCTCCCATAGGATTGCCGAGTATAATACATTTTAAATAACACAAAATTGAAAAGTTACACGCATGCGCCCGGACGATTGGAGGTAGGTAACAATATAGGTAACATTGTTGTTGCAAAGAAGGCACGGCGGCGACGATCGCCAAAAGCTGCGTCGCGTCAGTTATCGCCACCGTGGTGGTTGTTGTTGTTGTTGGTGTGTTAACAAATTGGCGTAGTAGGAGTAAAGGTTCGGAGGACGCAAGCGCGCGCGCCGCCGAGTACGCCCAAAGACGACGACGGAAGTCGCGGCAACAAACAGTGACCGGCAAACATCGAGAAGTCCGTTGGCGTCGACCGCGCGGTTACGTTCGATTACACGCTAGCTACACGTGTTCGTGTCCGTTATGCGGTTGCTATCCGACAGAGATCGACGAATGATGTTCGTTACACCGAATTCGTGATTTGTTACATGTATTTTTTTTTTTTGTATAGAACTACACAAATTTTGATTTACCAAAACTCACGCGCGTACCGTGCGCGTTAAAAATGTTGTCAATTATGTAAATCAAACTCTAGTGCCATTGAATTTTTGCCCAGTAGTCATATTCTGACCGGATCTCGAAAATGGTAAGTGCATATTTCGTATACAATTCATAGGTATTTGTCCGTTTTCTTACTCGCGATATTTATGGAACTCATTCCGTTGATCTAGCGCGCTTTTATCGTTCAATCGTATATGTAACTATTTTGTGGGGAAAAGGTAGGCAAAAGTTGAAAAACACTACTTTCCCACCCCTAAATTGAGAAAAAGCTCCACCAAAACAGTTGTCTTAAAAACTTGACTAAACTAGAAAAATATCATTTTTTTTATTAGGTTTATAAAAAACATAAAAAAATAGTACATTCTCTAAGAAAAAAAAACAGTCGACTATTATATCGACAGGTCGAAATTGTTCGTTAATAGTTACATACCTCCCTATAAAACATTGAGATATTTGTAAAAAAATTATGAAATGCGACATAAACCTTCTTTTGCCTAAATTTTATATGTATAAAGCTCGGAGTTAAGTTTTAAAAATAGTGCTCGGCGGATTAGCGTAGTCTTCCTCTAGTTTAAAGAAGTGTTATTTTGAATTCCCCTTTCCTCCGACCTTGTAGTGTTGAACCTGTGTCCACATGTCAAAAAAGTAATACACTTCCAAATAAGGCATCTTTTATGAATAAATTATTAAGGAAAGTTTAAAAAAATACTTTATTTTAGGTAAAATTATTAAAAATTTAACTAATTGCCAAAAACAAGAATAGAACTTTGTGTTTGGTAACATTGACTGTCTCGACGTCGCTTATTAGGTTTTTTTTGTTCATTCAACTGATACCTTCATCCGCTGTGTAATACAATACTATATTTTTATTTTGTCGTTTCGCAGTTTATCATGTGTTCGAATTAGTATTTTGTTTTTTTTATTTACTATATAAGTTGTTATTTGTTAGGTACTTCAACCTTATCACTTATGGTCGTTAATAATTAGGTGTTCGCTAATCAACACATATTTGTCGTTCAATTATTTTTTTGTAATCTACTTTTTATGTTTTTAAGAAATAATAATAATTATGATAACAAAAAATGCCTGTTATTTAAGTATTAATGGCATTGAAAGACGCAGGTATTATATATACCTGATATACCTTAAACTTAAAAAGTCAATAAAATAAATACTTATATAAATAAAATCAATACTTTATTCGCTTTATTATTACTCGTTTGATTTTAATTGTTTTTGTTAAAGCTATTCGAGCTATACATAAGTTTATTCGAGCTATATTTTTATCTAACCAACCTTAAATATTAAAATAAAGTTTTAGATAAATTCTTAAAGATTCATCGTTGAAACTTTATTGTTTAAAGTAATAATTGAATACGGTTGCTACCGCGTATGGGTACCGGAAAATAAGTATACATAAATAATCGTTATTATGGAAATTTCTATGTCTTTTGTTTTTTGTTTTTAATGCTAAGCAATAATTCTCCGTCGAATCACGAACGTCGTTGCCACAGCAAGGTCTCTCCTCTAGGATCCCCCTAAAAACAAAAAAAAGAAATAAATGTCAAGTCTCATCATTATCAGCCTTGTTGGGCTCTCAAGTATATTAACTTTTTCCCCTTCGGATCGAAGTACCCGTCACGTGAATGCAATATTTGTTAGTTACCCTCGTGGCCGTACGTAAACTATATTCCCCCAATCGGATTCGATATTCTATAAATAGGAAGTAATGTGCGTGATTAGTGCCCACAGTTGCGGTTAATTAATTAATTTACGTGGCCCTATGGGTTTTTAACAATGTAAAATAACTAATTTGAACAAGCAACTCTTCTGCGCTTGGATGGGAAAATAATTATCAAAAAAGAGAGCCAGCCAGCTGGTCCAATGTCGTCACATACGATCAGCGTGAAATATTTTCCAGTAAAGCCATTTCCTTTTGAGCTCGTTCAAATAATTACTATGCATGTATAGTTTTGTATTTGTGACGCAGCCGTAGCTAAAGATTCTCAAACTAAACGTAGGTAATTATACATATATATAGTATGTATATGTACTTGCCTGTAAATTATTCCGTGACACAAACGTTTAGCATTTGTGACAATAAAGATTTCAAAGAAAATGTGTGATGTTTAATGATCTCTTTGGAGCGTGTGTTCCAAACACATTAGGAATTTACAAAAAGACCGAGTTAAAAGTTTTCTTGTGCGCGCACATATAGGAATTCTTTAATAAATGGTAAATCGTGTTATAATGTTAGGTATATAAACTAACTTTTCTGGTATCCAACAGCTAACAAATCGCCGCCGTGGTAGAACAATGACACAACTGCAACAATTGAAATTTTACAGGAGAACCAAAAAACCAAATTATTTTTCACTAAAATGTTAATAATTCACGAATGCACAATTAATTATTACAACTACAGTTACGTCGTTTTTCTACCTAATGCGTTCGCTATATCTAAACACATTGAAGCATTTAGTATATTTTACCAAATTTTGCAGTTGTGTCATTCTTCTAGAGGGGCGGCGAAATGTTTTCCTAATATTTTTAACATGTTGTCAAAACTGGTTTTATACCCCACAGCAATGATATGTTAAAACATTTTTTTATTTCACTGGAAATAATAATAAATATTATTATTATTGTTATTATTATATTAATAATAATTATCTCAATATTAAATCATATTACATATTATATTATATTTTCACACAATATCAAATATTACCTACATAACTTTTTCAATAACATTTCTTAAGTATATTGTATATTGATTATTCTTCAAAATGTTGTTATGTTAGACAATTTGTTTGTTTTTTTATCATTTAAAACGTTCAAAATCTAATTAGTCAATTGTTGTTTGTTAATGCGTTTTTTAGTTAATATACTTCCTTTGCATACGATATAAAAAACATAATTTTCCTTCAACAACGATAATTGACAAAAAAATATGTATATCGGCGCCGTGGTTGTGTATTTCACCGTGTCTACTTATTTGTTTTAAACTCCTAGTCGTTTTTGAATATAATTCTAATTTATTTTTCCAATAGCATAATTGACATATGCGTTATTAAGTCTCTATTTTGAAAAATTATTCACCAAGGACTATCGACAGATGGAACGAACGTCTTTTTAGAAGACTAGGATTTAACCAATATTTATAATATACGAATTAACTCTGCCATTGTGTTGCGGCGGCGTTACGAAATCTTGTATTACCATAAAACACTTTCGGCGTCTAACCGTGTGCTAGATAGTATTCATTTGTTCAAACAAATCGAGTGCTGGAAATTTTAGCTTTCGCATTCTCTGGGACACGTGTTTTCCATGAAATATACCACAAGGAGGCTTAGCTCTTGGTCGTTCAAGGAGATTAACCCTTTGGTGTGCGTTTGGCGTGCATTCCAGACGAGAACCGCCGTATATTACCGTGACATCTCTTCGGCCAAGTTTCACTGATCACGACTGGTGTGCATTTGGAACGATTTACTATTTTATTATAATCCAAACGCCGCGAGCGTCTATTAATTTGACTTTTTCATTTTCAAGAAAATATTGTCTTAAAACGATTACGCGTGTATTATTTTACGGACGCGAATAGGATATTTTTATTTTCATGAAGAACACGGAACCATAATTGGTTAGACGCGTTTGGAAACGATACGCACGAAGTACCTACCGCGCGTTCATATGTATTAAAGTAGTAGGTAATTCTCCATTAGTAACCACTGACCATGATACTCACTGGTGTACGAGTTAAATTACAAATTTAATTCCGCTGAAGTATGATAATAATAATAATAATAAAAAGAATAATACAAGAATTGCATAACGATTTCGCGATTTATTACTCCGATTAAAAAGGAAAACACAATAATAATTGTAAGAATTTTGAGTTATGTGCTGTAGCTTTTATTTAGATGTCGAGTTTTCAAAACAAACTAATCGCATTAAGGCGGTATCACAGCTACGTCGTCTGTCGTGACGTGCGATTTAAGAAGTGGGCGTGGCCACTTAAGGTTACTAATGGTATCTGTTTAATACCAATTTGGTAATTATCGATCGTGGTTACCTAATCAGTGAATGCCATAGAGTACTCGCGAAATAAATTTAAATTTGATAAAATAATTACTTATAAATTTACCGTATACGGCCCATCAATGACAAACAGGCATTTAATGCAGATAGTTATAGTAATAAGTATGTTCAAATTGATAGTTGATAAAAAATCAATTGACCGCGGTTACCATACTTTAACCACCTATACTACACGATACAAAAGTTGAGCTCAGCTCAACTCTAGCAATAACCCGGTAGGTCATGGTTACTTAATGATACCGTGATTACAACGGCCAATCAGAAGACGATATAAGGCACACGACACGACAGACGGCGTAGCTGTGATACCGCCTTTACACTTGATTGATTGGTAAATAACACTTAACCGGATTTCAGTGTTAATATTGTATTAAGCTATTCATAGTTTAATAGTATTGTGACTTTTGATGTTATTTTTTTGCTATCCTATAATATTTATATACCTAGTAGTAATTCGTGTACACTACACTGTATGTCTATAGAAACACTTATGGAGCTTTATTGTTACCCGATAATCGTCAACCTGGTATTTTCGTTTAATTTTGTTTATTCAAGAAATTCTGAAATGAGCTCTATAGATTATGGTTTTGCGAAGTAGCATTAAACTGCGCCTGCTCGTAATGTCCGGTTTTTGGCGCGACCACGTTCGGTGATGTAATTCGGCGGAGGAACGAATAGTAGGAGTCTATCTATTTTAGGTTTGGTCGAGTGCGTGGGCGCTTTTGTGTGTGTGTGGCGTTTAGGCGTTTCGCCTGGATTCGGATTAAAACGTTTAAAAGTCACACGTGTCCACGCCCATGGTTTTCATTTCCTCGGCACGTTACATGTATTTATTATGTATATATTCTATAATTCTGCACCGTTTACTCTGGACGGCTCCCGTTAAGGAATTAGCAGAGCAACAGTCGTTGGAAAGAAAAGAAAAGGAAGGAACGGCCTCGTAAACGTTATTCTCATGTATCGCACGACGATCAACCGCCGTGT